ATTTAACTTGGGATCGGGGACATTGACGACAGTGGTGGAGATCATCGGATTGAGCACAGACTAGAGATTAAAGCTTTGCATGCTGTGTCTGAGCTCCACACTGCTCTCCTTAGCCTTTCACTGGGTGTTCATGAACTACTCTTTGAATCTCCTCTGCATTTGCCTTTGAATATTTTTTGTACTAAAACGGTGACTTATCTGAAACCTGTTTAGAGTAACATCTTAAACTTTTTTTAAGAAGATGTACCAGATGCTTTTGCAATTATAATATCTACTTATCTGGCTTCTGAGATGATTTTCAAACGTCTGGATTTTTTTGGGGGTGATTGGGGGAAAGTGATAATCATTGTAACAGCGGTGAAGAAGACTATAGTGGAGTCCTGTAGCTCAGTGGCTAGAGCACTTGCTTTGCAAGCGAGAGACCAGGGTTCAAACCCGGCAGGGTGAAACCTTGGGGAAGTTTCCTTACTCCACACGCCTGATAATAATCCCTCAAAAAAACAATAATAAATTGGTCATTTCAATCCGTGACTGTTTGTGGACACTGCTGTGCGCAATTGGCTGCCGCATTTTGCCCACAAATATACAGTCAACATTTACAATCTATTGTGTGATGCGCTTTGAGACGTCTAGAAGTCGTGAAAAGTGCTATATCATTTTTTTTTAATGATTATTACCCCAGAAAAGCGATCTGCCAATTGACTAATAACTCGGTTTCTGTTTGCTGCTAGGTGAACAGAGACATGTGGAATAAGGAAACTTGCCCAACTTTTCACCCTGCCCAGGAATTGAACCCAGGTTCTCTCACTTGCGAGGCGAGTGCTCTAACCAATACGCTTCAGGACGCCGCTGGTCCTTCCAGCAGTAAAATGCTACTCTGTCCATATCCCAGACATGATTCATACAAACACTATCTGCTGTATTTGCCGACTGTCTGCCAGTACTTACCAACTTGGATATAATTAAGAAATTCAGCACAGGTTAGGTCTAAAAACATAAACTCGCTCACAAACTGTGCAGTCAATTCACTTTACAGTATATTCCTTACAGTATATTTACAGTACATATTGAGGATGTGTTGAGGCAGATGGGGAATTTTAGAATGTTGTTTGGATCATTTGTGGTCTTTGTGAGGGATTTAAATTAAAGCTAAACCAAGATGTGGGATTGTTTACCATCAATATTTTGTTTTCCCATCATTGCTCATATGTCCTTGATCTAACATGTTCATGTGCGTATTGTTTTTAGATTGATGTGTCTTGGGTGTGTCGTTTTACCTAATTGGTGTCATCATTTGATTAATGCCTCTCTGTAGTTCCAGTAGCCTTCAGGGAAGATGTGTTTACTTACAGTGTACTTTGAGGTTCAGATGAACGCTTCTAATGGCTTACAACCAGGATCTCTTAGTAATCACTTAACTGGGTTTTCTTCGTCACTGACTCATTTGGAGGGGTTTTTCTCTGAAGAGCATACATTGTGTTTTTTGGTTTAATTATGTAAAACTATGATGGCTGCAATTTCAGCCACGTCACATATCTCCGAGATAAATACTGAACGTATTTTCATCTTGATTTTGACATCCTTCCTCCAAATGTGAATCTGGCTTACTGCTCCATCTTGTGCGACTAAGGCAGCAACGTTTCTTTCATATTTGGGGGTGGGAGAGGAGGCCTTTCTCTATTGTACTCAAAACTAAACTTATTTTGTCTTCATTCGGAGAGTATCTTTGCATTTGACATAGCACCTTTTCACATAGTTTGAGACGTCTCAAAGCACTTTACAGAATCTACTGTGAATTTTAGTGACCGTATACTTTGTGGGCCAAAGTATGCATCACTAGATGCTATATCAAATGCTTTGATATATATTATTATTGTATGGAGTGGCTGTGCTTCTGTCACACTTTGACTGATTTCACTGTTTTTTAAAGCACAAGTTGGCAAATGTGTCCCTCTTCCCTATATAAGAAGCTAATCTTCCCCCTATGCTTTCTATCACTGAGAAACTTAATCTGAGCAGCAGTATTGAGAGAGAATTTGGTGGTGTCCCTCACACTGGGCTGCTACGTTTTCCACGAGCAATCGGTCATACAATAGCACTGCGTCCTATTCAGAAGTTTGCTTTCTAAACCATTCAATCAGATCTGTGTTTGTGAATTCTTTATTGTATCTTGATGGGTGGTCATAACCCGGATGGCATTGATGTAACGGAATTGTGCTGTTGCTCTTTTCCTTACACAAGCCAATGGATGGTTCTAGTCAGTGCATGTGGTGATCTTGTCAGTGAAATGCCAATCAATGTGCTGTCTGAGGTCATCTGTTAAGAGTCTCTTGTTTCTATGCTGATGAATTGAGTCTCCACATCTGTGCAGAATGCAGAGTTAGACTTATAATATAATAATCCTTGCATTTGATATAGCGTCTTATCACGTCTTTGAGATCTCTCAAAGCGCTTCACAGAATATACTATAAAGTGAATTGACTCTATATTTTGTGGGCGAAACATGGTAGCCAATTGTGCACAGCAGTGTCCCACAAAAAGTCGTGGATTGAGTGATCAATTTTTTTTAAGCATACATAACAAATATGAGGTACTCACGTTTTGTTTTCTACAAAAAAGACGTCAGTTGCTATTCATTTTCCATCTTGTTCTGTGTTGCTTAAGCTATTGTTTGCTGTGCACCGTATAACATTTCTGTAACTTATATATGGTTTATAGCTAATTCCTGCACTAACGATGAAGCACTTAAGCATATTGCAGCACAAATGGTAAATGGATATCCTGCATAGCTCGTAATCAATACTGTAGGAAATGGGATCTTCAGCATAATAACAAATTGCATGTACTGGAGTACTGGAGTCCTGTAGCTCAGTGGTTAGAGCACTCGCCTCGCAAGTGAGAAGACCTGGGTTTGATTCCCAGGCAGCGTGAAACGTTGGGTAAGTTTCCATACTCCATGTGCCTCTGTTTACCCAGCAGTGAGTAGGAACCTGGTTGTTAATTGATTGGCGGATTGCTTTTCCGGGGGTAATAATCCCTTCAAAAAAACATGATTGGGTCACTACTACTATTATTATTACTACTACTGTTTGTGGGACACTGCTGCGTGTAATTGGCTGCCGCGTTTCACCCACAAAATATACAGTCGACTCACTTTACAGTATAATCTGTGAAGCGCTTTGAGACGATGGGAAGACATGATGACCTGCTATATCAAATGCAAGGATTATTATTATCAGATTTTGCAAACTTCAGCAGTTTTCGGTGATTCCCTCCTCTGAGATAATGCTATTTTCAGATGAAGTATAATGAGCTTTGGCAGAATGGCAAATGAGGACCTTGGAAGAGCAGGTTTACCGTACCCTAATTTCTTCAATGATTGCATATTCAAATTGTGAAGGGAGCCCCCTTGCCTGAACCTAACCTGCAACGTCTTTTTTATCATGTCTTTGTGGCATCTCAAAGCGTTTCACAGAATACACTGTAAAGTGAATTGACTATATTTTATGAGCGAAATGCGGCAGCCAATTGCACACAGCAGTGTCCCAAAAACAGTCGTGGATTGAGTGACCAAATGTTTTTTTAAGGGATTATTACCCCCAGAAAAGTGATCCACCAATCAACTAGTACTTCTTCCAAAAAAAACGATTAACAGTTTGCAGTTTTCATGTAGCGTGTTTTGTAGAGCAATGAGGCTTGACAATACTTCTGTGGTCCATGACTTTGCCTTGTACATCAATATCAGCAGCATTGTTTATGAACACAATACAAATTATATGTGTTTAGTTTGCTTTTGGAGGCCACAAAAATGTATTTTCCAGCATGTTGTTTTGATCTCTCAGCAGAAGGATTGTGTTTCTGTAGCACAGCTGTGTCTCCTTTATTTCTGGTTAACTTGTACGTTAATTTGTACAGGACAGATGTGAGAACCTTTTATACTTCATGCCGTGGGATAGAGGCAAACAAAAGGAGGCAGTTTAACTTGTTGACATTGAAACTGCATGGACAGATTGCTCAATGAAACAAGGTTCTGGGTGGAGTGGGAAGAACAAGAAAGCTCAGTGGTTTCATTTGAACGTGTGTCAAAGCTTTTAATTGCGTTTGATCCTGTCTTGGTGGAGCATACAAGTTTATATTCATATTATATTTTTGGAATCTTTCGAGAGTACCTCAAGGCATTACCTGATATAAAAGTAGCAAGTTGTGTGGATCAAACATCGATAAAGCGCCTTATCACGTCTTCGAGACGTCTCAAAGCACTTCACAGAATATTCTGCAAAGTGCATTAACTGTGTATTTTGTGGGCAAAAGACAGAGCCAATTGCGCATAGCAGTGTCACACAAATTGAGTGACCACATTTATTTTTTGAAAGGATTATTACCCCCTGGAAAAGTGATCCACCAATCGACTAACAACCTGGTTCCTACTCACTGCTAGGTAAACAGAGGCTTGTGGAGTAAGGAAACTTGCCTCAGGTTTCACCCTGCCTGGGAATCAAACCCAGGTACTCTCGCTTGCAAGGCGAGTGCTCTAACCACTAAGCTACAGGACTCCTTGAATTCCACATGAGCCTCCAGCCCTCCTTGCTCCTTTTCCTATACCCCTCCACTCCATTATCTTTCTTATGTGCAGCATGATTCCTCTTAAAAACATATAAATAAGAGCAACTCTTAATGCAGACCCCCTTGTGCAGCATGTTCAGCTAATACCACCCTTTAAGGCTTTGGATTGCAGGTTAGCAGGAGCTGAGAGGGAAGAATAACTGGTCTGTCCTTCCAAATTCTGCCAACAAGCCTGGTCAACTGGTCTGTGATCAACACTGTTTCCGAGTGCTGCAGACTCGCCTAGCTCAATAACTGGACTACCAAGCCCACAACAGAGAATTGACTTGATTCCGATATTCCAATGCTCTTTAGCTCTTGCGCACACATGCGCACTCCAAGACAGAAAATCAATCCTCAGTTAAACATTTTTACAGTGAATCCTTTTCCATGCCCAGGGTTGGACGACTGCCTACAGTACTATGTTTGCAATTTTGAGCGAGAGAAGATCAACGGTGACCAACTTCTCCGGATTACTCATCAGGATCTCGAAGAGTTGGGAGTGACACGTATTGGTCACCAGGAGCTCATCTTGGAGGCTGTAGACCTGCTTTGTGCTCTGGTAAGTTCATTTAAAAAAAAAAAAAAAAAAAAAATGTTGAAAATGGCCCATTTAATTTCAGACATCAGGACGTGAACACCGTGAAATTAATCAGCACCCCAAAAATACTTGTTATATAGACCAGACAAATCTTAAACTGAAATGTTTCCACACACAATGCTTCCTAGTGCATAATGATGATGATGATAATAATAATCCTCACACTTAATATAGCACCTTATCACATCTTTGAGACATCTTAAAAGTGCTTCACAGAATGTATTGTAATGTGCAGTGACTGTATTTTGTGGGCAAAACTGTCATTCCACGCAATAGATTACTTTATAAAGATGACTATTTACTGTTTTGCAACACTTAATGATAATTATTATTATTAGTTATCCTTGCCTTTTGATACAGCACCTTATGTCAAGGCACCACAGTTGGGTGCTTTTTATTGAGCGTATATCTATCTGAAGCATTTCTGATCGGGCCAATATTTGTTGTAATTGGGCAGAGCAGTTTTGCTACTGGATGGATAATACTTAATGGAGCCTGCAAATGCTATGTGGCTCATGCTGATTTGGATAGTGTAATTTTTATCGTGTTACACAATGAGGATGTAGGAGTGCAAATTTTTTTTCATTAAATCTTTTTTTTAAATTGAACTTATTCAAGCAACCACCCTCTTAACACCCTTGCTTACCAATGAACCCTTACTCAGAGGCCACCCTCATACACAGACCACTTTGGCCCAGTCCTCTCAGAGGTTGTTGAAGATGGGTTTTTACTGTAGTTTAAATGGAAACTTCAGTCTCTGTGTAGCTATGTACTGTAAAATACATGAAATACGTTGCACACTACAGCTCACCAGCCAGTCAGGAACCTTGGTGTCTTGTTTGACCCTCAACTATCTTTTCTTCCCCACATCCAAGCCATGACCCGCTCTGCCTTCCCTCATCTCTGTAACATCGCCCGGCTCCGCCACTACCTCACCCCTCAGGCCACTGAAACTCTTGTTCATGCCTTCCTCACCTCCAGGCTCAACTATGCAAACGCTCTGCTTGTCAGCCTTCCTAACTCCTATAATCCAGAACTCTGCAGCCCGTGTCCTCTCACGCACCAAACTCCATGACCCCATTCTCATCCGACTCCATTGGCTCCCTATCCTTCAGAGGATCCAGTTCAAGATTCTGGTCCTCACCTACAAAGCCCTCCATGGCCTCGCCCCACCCTACCTCTGTGATCTCCTCACCCCCTACCAACCCGCCCCTTCCTCCGATCAGGCGGCTCCGGCCTGCTCCACGTCCCCCGACCCACCCGCTCCACCATTGGCGGGAGAGCCTTCAACCTCTGCAATTCCATACCCCAATCACTCCAACTTGCCCCCTCCTTAGCCTCCTTCAAGTCCGCCTCAAAACTCTCCTCTTCGACCATGCCATCCGTCAACCTCCTTTCCCCCCCCCCCCCCCCCCCCCCGACCCCAGCTCAGGTCTGAAATGCTGTTCACTGTCCAGCGCCTTGGGACATCCTCCAGACGTGAGAGGTGCTAAACAAATGTAATCTTGTTGTTAAACTTGCAATGTAGATAGGGAGAAACTGTTTCCACTGGCGGGTGGATTGGTAACCAGGGGACCTAGATTCAAGATAATTGACAAAAGAACAATAGGGGAGATGAGAAGAATTTTTTCTACACAGAGAGTTGTTAAGGTCTGGAATGCATTGCCTGAAAGGGAGATGGAAGCAGATTCTATAACAACTTTCAAAACGGAATTGAATAAGTACTTGAAGAGGATATGGGGAAAGAGCAGGGGGTGTGGGAATGATTGGGTAACTCTTCCAAAGAGCTGGTGTAGGTACGATGGGCTGAGTGGCCTCCTTCTGTTCTGTAATATTCTATGATTCTAATACTCAATAGTCATCAATCCTCAACTGTCTGTGTGCAATCTGTAAGTGCAGCTATGTGCAAATAGTAATGCTGTATCACCTTAGGTTATATGACAGAACCACATCTTGAACTAGTTCTGTAAATGTAAAAGCTGTTATGTTTATTCATCTTTTTTTCTCCCTGCGCTCATTATATTGGAGGAAGGATGGAAAGAAAAGTACTGCTTAATGAACCTCCTGGCCTCGATCTCCTTCATGCGGTGCCAGCTGGAAGAGGCACGCTGCTGAGAATATAATGAACATTTCTTTTCAAATAAAATGCAAACCTCAAAAACCAGTGGCCTGTGCTGTTTTTAAGTTGTGATTGAATACGATGGATCGTCCTTTTGTGTGTGGCATATTTAGGATATTTAGAATATGCCATACACAATAGGACCCGGGTTCGATTCCCGGGCAGAGTGAAACACTGGGCAACTTTCCTTATTCCACATGGCTCTGTTTACCTAGCAGTAAGTAGGAACCCGGTTGTTAGTCAATTGGCGGATTGCTTAATAATCCTTTCAAAAAAAATTAAAAATAAGAATAGGAATTTGGACACTTCAATCCACGACTGTTTGTGGGACACTACTGTGTGCAATTGGCTGCTGCTTTTCGCCCACAAAGTATACAGTCAATTCACTTTACAGTATAATCTGTGAACCGCTTTGAAGCATCTCAAAGACATGATAGGGTGGCTTATCAAATGCAAGGATTATTATTATTTGTAGAACCATAAAAATGTACAATACAGAAGACTGTTTGGCCCATCGTGTCGTCTTGAACTTACCAAGTTACAGTCTAACCGAAGTGGAATGCACTATTTGTATAGCACTGGATAAACTTTCAGCCCCAGCTTTATGGCTGTGAGGAATCTTGTTCTAATTTTGCCTGCCAATGATCCAACAACACGAGACCATAACACAATGTTAAGTTCGTGACCGCATTGCATGGTTTTAATGAACCATGAAGCAGGAGTTTTTGACTCTTGTGTTTAATGGCTTAACCATGTCAGTTGACATGACCTTCAATTTGCAGTGTAAGATGCTCAAAGTTGGCTTAACAGGTTTCTCTGCGGTTTGAATAAGATAGGTGAAGCTGCTGTTTCTAAGCTTGCAAATGAGAGATGCCGGATTTGATTCCTGGCCTGAAGACCTTCCTATTCGACCATGTCTACGGTCACCTCCCCCTCTCCCAGGCTTGACATTGTGCTCCGCCATGTCAAGCATTCTGAGAAGCTACCCTTCGTAAGGGGCGCTATGTAATGCAAGTTGTTGTTGTCAGATGGGGTGAAATGATCTTTTTCAGGCTGACACATTCCTGTTTTTTTTTCTAACTTGATTTTCTCGTTTGGATGAGTAACGGATATTTTATATGTTGCTTCCCCTGCTGGAAACATTGATGATTATAGCCAAAATCTTCTTTCTATTTGGAGGATAATTGTATGTGCAGTTGTAACTTTGACACAAACAACAACTTGCATTTATATCGTTAGTTTCCATGATGCTCTTACACTTCAACAACAACTTGCACTTATATAGTACCCTCCATGCAGGGTACCGTCTCAGAGCGCTTGAGTTCTACACTAAAATTCTTGCATAACTGTTTGCGTTATGGTGTTATTGGTTCTATTAGAAACTGTAAGTGTTCAGCAGAATAAAATTGCTTTAAAACGCTCTCCAATTAGCAATAGCCTTGCCATGCTTTTATCCCTGAAGGTAACTTATGAATACAGAAATCCTTCAAACCACCTGGCAAAACATTGCATTGCGTGAATTATTGTATTAGCTCACCTCTGCATCAGAAGATTTCAGGTTGAAGTCCCATGTGGGAATTTGAACCCATAGTCCAGCAATTAAAATTAATCATTTACCTCATGGCAATTGCCATTTGCAAATTGGCTTCTGTGTTCCCCTACAAAATAGACTTCACACTTTCTAGGAAATCCTGTGAAGCATTTTTCCTCCTAATGTAAAAGGCACTATATGAAATGCGAGGATTATTATCTGTGGTGCACTTTGAGAAGTTGTAACGTGAAGAAGTGCTGGATCATATGCAAGTGTAATCATGCTTATCTTCAGTTTATCCCAGATGCAGCCAAAACACCCGTCCCTGGTTGTCGTCTCCAGCCTCAATTATTGAAATGCCCTCCTCGCCTGTCTCCCCAGCTCTACCATCCACAAAATCCAACTGATCCCACACTCTGCCACCAGCATACTCGCCTGTACTAAACTCCGTACCCCCCTCACACCAGTCCTAGCCAGGCTCCTCTGGCGCCTTATCGCTGAATCGATTGATTTAAAGATCCTCACACTCGCTTTCAAATACTTCATGCCCTGGCACCTCCCTCCCTCTCCCACCTGATTTTAGCCACTACACCCCAAAACTCTGGAATACTCTTCCTCCGCCTTGCCCCTCCCTTCCCAATCATCAGGTCGCACATAAAGACCTTCCTCTTCAACCGTGCCTACGGTTACCCCCCATCTACCCCTGTCTCGGCGTTGTGTTCCACCACTGTCAAGCGCTTCAGGACACTACCCTGTGTGAGGGGTGCTATATAAATGCAAGTTGTTATTACTTATTGGCCAGGATGGGGAATGTGTTTGTTAGGAAAAAGCCTCAATCAGCGTTAGTTCAAGGGAACAAAAATCATGGTGTTTTAACAATTTGAGTTCTTGCTCCCGACTTACCTATTGCAGGCATGTTGTCTTAAGAGGGCTAATGATGATTATAGGCTGACATTGAGAATCGCAGAAATTACACCGAAGCACAAGGGTGATACAGCCATCATATTCTTGAGCTAAATACTCTACAGCTACAGCGGCAACTTAAGTGAGACAGCACCCTTCACATGGGGTAGAATATGGAGTGTTTACTACAATAACAACAACAAAATTATATTTGTGAAGTGCCTCTCATGGCAGGAGGACATCCCAAGGCGCTGGACAATCAGTGTTTAATTCCAATTCCTGCTCCTTTCTTTGTACCCTTCTATATTCCTTAAATATTATCCAACCTCTTAAAAGTTGAGGCCTGGTCTACGTAGCTGCCTGCAGTGAAGCTTTCCAGATGGATTTACAGTATGTTGCTTAGGAGGT